AAACAATTCTGAAGAGCTCCCGGACTATGATTGCTTATCATTTAGAGTTGATCATCTCCAACATGTTTTAATTTATTGTTCTGATATAATAAGTATACCTGCTCAAGTTCATCAGTACTTAAGCATGGTTTTTGAAATACTGAAATCATTTGAAGATGGTGACAATGGTGAATATGTTGCACCAACTGTGAAAACTGGTGGGAGTGGACGCCCAGCATACTATATCACAAAGGATCAACTTCATTTTTTGGTCTCATCAGGGTTCAATGTACCACTGATTGAAAAACGTTACTAAATGTTGGAAAACGAACTATAGAAAGAAGGCTTCACGAGTTCAACATTTCTTTAAACACTACATTTTCCTTAATAAGTAATGATGATTTAGATGCTGTTGTTAGAGATATTGTCAATGAATTTCCAAATGTGGGTAGCAGACGACTTCAAGGTTTCCTAAGAGCAAGAGAATATAACATCCAACAGCAGCATGTTAGAGAAGCACTGCGAAGAGTAGATCCTGAAGGTGTTTTATTACGAGCTAACGAATTGAATGTCATTAAAAGGAGACGGTATAATGTGAAGTCTCCTTTATCACTGTGGCACATCGATGGTTATCACAAACTGATCAGGTAAGAAATTTTCTTCACTATTAGTTATTAACACTCACAAATTTAAGTATGTGATACTTTAAATGGTTTCTTTTAGGTGGAGATTTGTGATTCATGGACGCATTGATGGATTTTCGAGAAAAATCGTTTACCTGGAATGCCATACAAATAATTATGCAAACACAGTTTTGAATGCGTTTCTTTCTGCTGTCCTTCATCATGGACTTCCTTCGCGCGTTAGATCTGATAAAGGAGAGAATGTAGCTGTTGCACAATATTTACTGGAACATCCTGAACAAGGAAGTGGAAGGGGGAGTATGATCACTGGCAAGAGTGTGCACAACCAGAGAATAGAACATCTTTGGAGAGATCTCTTTTCTGGTTGTGTCCATATGTATTATAATTTGATTTATTGCCTAGAAAAGTCTGGTATACTAAATCCTGATGATGACATCGATTTGTTTTGCTTACACTATGTGTATTTGCCAAGAATAGCGAAGTCTCTCAAAACCTTTACAGAAGGATGGAATTTTCATCCCATAAGTACTGAAAGTAATCTTACTCCAAATCAGCTATGGATAAGTGGTCTTCTTCAAATAGCTAACAGTAGTAACAGAATTGCTTGAGATCTTTGGCAAACAGATGTACATATTTTGTGATTATGACAAGCTGAATATTATGTTAGTACAATATTCTCAGTTTCACACATAACGAGCCAATTGTCGATTTAGGTTAGCATACCCCCCTTTAGGCATATGTTGCGCGTTCGACAATTTTTCTTCCACTAAGGGTGGGGAATTTGATCATTAAAAACGGAATGAGGCACGCCGGGAAGGATGTTACAGATACGTTAAATGGTGCAGAAGTAACTATATAATTAGTGTTAACCACAGTTAACTTGCATTTAACCTAGATCCGAAGCTGATTCCAGTTTGTTTACTCCTATGGAATAGAAAGCTTTACGTTTTTGTTGTATAGGATTTTATGGAGTCGACTGGAATGGCCCAATGTCAAGTGATATCGTCAAGGTTTCCCAAGACGATATTTCGGTCGCGTCGTCTGACAACAAATTAAATGCTGCCGAAGAAAATGCAGTAAAACAGCAATTATTTCTTGACGCTCCAGAACCAAAGAAAAGAGGGGCAAATATGGAGCATATGATGCTTTTCAACGAGCAGAAATTGCAAAATGGGGAATGTGCATGGAATAAGACCGGCGGCAAGAAAGTATTCCGTACCAGAGTCAACTGTTTGTGGACTTGTCAAATCGTACAATAAGGAACGAAAAGAGCGCACTGTACTCGAACAATTGCAAAGAAAACATCGTGGAGCAAAAACTTTGTTACCCGAGAACATCGATGAGAAAGTTATCGCCATGATCAAGAGCATGAGAACGGCCGGTTGTGTTGTCAATTACAACATTCCTGTTTCCATAGCGAAGGGGATAGTACTGGCTAATGATCGGTCTTTGTTGAAAGAAAGCGGAGGAACCCTAGAATTCCACTATACATGGTGCCAGTCAATTTTCAGAAGATTGGGTTTCAGTAAACGTAGAGCAACAACTGCAAAACAACCCGTATCACCTGGCTTCTTAAAAGAAATTCGCTTCACGTTTCATCGTTCTATTAAGGAAGTGGTTACCGCTTATGACGTTCCCGACGATCTCATTATAAACATTGACCAGACCCCTCTCCCGTTTGTCCTCATCAGCAAGTATACAATGGACAAAACTAACGAGAAGTTTTTGCCGATCAGTGATAGCGCCGATTATCGCCAAATTACTGGAACATTCTCAGTCACCGCGTGGGGAAAGTTTCTGCCAATTCAGCTAATCTACCAGGGTAAAAAAGAGACCCGTGTCACCCTAAATTCAGATTTCCAAAAGAATTCCACGTTACCAACACGGAAAATCATTGGTCAAATGAAACGAAAGCAATTGAATTAGTCAATCGCATTCTTATCCCCTATGTCAAGCAAATTAAAGAAGAGCTTAGTTTAAAACTACTTGCGAGAATTTAAAGCTGCGCGAATAATTGTCAACAAAGTGCGCGAAATTAAATCGCGCGAATTTAAAGCTGAGCGAAAATGAGTACGACTCGAATTTCAATACAAGTAAGGTATTTGTATTATGGTATATTTGTTATCATTGCTATAGTATTAAAGGGAATTTTATGAAAAAATAGAGTACCAAGAAAAGAAAATTCGTGAGATACAGAAATCTATAAAAGGCGCATATTTGTTTAAAGAAATTATCTGCATTGGTGGTGATGATGATTGGGATTGGCACAATTCATTGCTTTTTTAACAGAATTTATTTGTTTCAACTTCATGAAAAAGTTTTTAAAAAAACTTTTTCTGAAAATTATGCTGTGGACTTTTTAATCAAAGACTAAGAAATTTACAATTACTGATAAAAAATTACTAATTTTCTTTTAAAATATAAATCATACATTAAAAACCATAGATGAATATAAATGAACAAAAATATATAGAAAAAAATATTTGTAAAGAATTATATTTTTAAGGACCATTTTTAATATAATAAAAATGGAATGTGAATAATAAAAAATTTGTTCATTTTTGTTAAAAAATCTCCTTTTGTAAAATAAAAATTGTCTGGTATATATTCATCTTATTTTTCATGTTTTATATAATTTGCTTTCATATACTTTCAGACAACACATCGATGTAAGTTTTTAAGGAAAAGAAAAAGAAATGACTCAAGAGTATATCATTTACCAAAAAAATTTTAGAGATTTGGTAACAGTTTTACAAAGCTGTTCTAATGGAAAAACAATCGTTTCAAATAAAGTATGCAGTTTTAATTGCTTTAGTAAACTATGTTTTTCTTTCAAAATCTGTTTACAACGATGGATTGTGCTGTAAAGATGAGTTGCAAATGAATTTGCAATCATGTGAAAAATTGGCAAATGTGTTGAATAAGATTGCAAAAATAAAGATGGAAAAATTTTGTATGAAATTTTTGTTTTCATGTAATGAGAAATGCGTTATTTTGGAACGTGATTCAGGAAATAGATTAATTTGAAAACCAAAAATCATCCCATGTTTTGGAGGAAAGTGGAACTGGTTTATGTTGCTGATCAGGAGGGAGGATGATTGTTTTAAGCCCGCTGATCTAAATGATATTTCAATGGTTGATTGGACGGATGAATTTTACAAAATATATTTCAGAAAAATAACGATTTAAAAGCTATAGGGTTAGGGTTAGGACTGGATCCAAAAAGGTTGGAATTCCTAAGAATAATCTTGTTATTGTTAACTTTTTGAAGACATGTTATTGTTGGCATTAATTGGCACAAATTCTTTTTGAAAGGCCTATATAGGAGATGTGGTCATATAATTTGACAAATTTACTTGTTTGAGTTTTACAAGTTTGTATTTTTCTTTACAGTTTTGTGAAATTATTAAAATGTTTTTGTAATTACCAAAATGTTTATCATCATTTTTGTTATAATGAAATGATGAAATGTTCATGTCATTAATTATGTATTATTTGGGCATGTTTGGTTCAAACTCATAATACAGAAAATTTGGAGCTGTCATTTGTATATTGTGGTGTTTCCAGAACAGAAACGTCCCCATAGACAAAACCAACTTGCGTTCCATCATGTATATTACAATGATCAATGACAAATATGGGTGACAACTTGATTGGTAATCTTTTTCAACATGCTTTCGCATGCTTAGGGCGCATTTTTCAAGCCCTCTTTGTACAACTCTGTTGCAACTTTTTGGAAAACATACTAATTGGTTCTCGACAATTTGATATAGTTATATAATCCAACATTTTGTTGTTCAACCGAAAAAGGTTTGGTTGTAACAGGTTTATTTTTGATTCATAAACAAGAGCCACGTTGGCATCCATTATGTTTATTAACTCAAGCATGGTGTGAGTGTTTTTAACAGATATATCATGAAATTTCAGAGTCACCCAAGCATCGGCCATTTTAGTGTACTGTGTTGTATAGGATGAAAAAAAATGGTTTGTTTATTCTTGAATCCAAGACTAATTTAACACAGAAAAAGCTTCTTTGTCGTTCATTTTTTTGTTGTTGTCTCTGGATGTTTTTTCTTTTTATAAAACCAAAAAGCGCATTTAGGGGCCGTTTATATGGTCTCGGGTACTAGGGTTACCCTACTGCCCGAGACACCCTGGGAGGGCTTAGTTATTATAATTTTATACTAGATTAGCAGCGAGCGTTTACATGAGAAATTCTTTCGCACAGGGTAACCCTAGGAGTAGGGTTACGCTGTTTAGGAAAGAGGGTAACCCTACTTGACGCGACAAGTTTCTGTCATATAAACACTTTGGCCCTGGCACCAGGGACAAGTTTTGGATAACGCATGCGCAAAGTAATGTAAACATTGCAGCAAGATGGCGGCGAATACGAGCAACTGGAATAACGGAGCAAGTGCAAGCAAAGCTTCTTCAAGTAAGAAGTCAAAAAAATGGTCTTGGTCTCCCCAAATGATTGATGCATTAATAAGTGCATTGCAAGAATATAAAAATATGTCCGAATTTAACTCAATTGACTTCAATGCCAACAAAGTACGTCTGTACGAGGAAGTGAGGAAAATTCTTGCCAAATCATATCAAGAAGATTTTGGTCCCCAACAAGCGTGTGAACCCGAAAAACCTGTCAAAGAAATGACAAAAGACGAATACGATCAGTATAAGGCAGGCCATGATTTGGATTTAAAACAAATTAAAGTTGGTTACCTTAAAGTTGGTTTTAAACCAAATTAAAGTTGGTTACCGTATAAAAGAGAAAATAAAAAGTATTAGACAAGACTACTCGAAAGCAATTACTAGCGGCCGTAGAAGTGGTAGTGGGAAAATCGTTTTGGAATATTTTGACAAACTTGCTATAATCTGGAGTGGCTCTCCTTCTACAGATTCTCTATCTTTTGGAGTGGATACACAAAGTATCAATTATTCTGGGAAAGAACAGTCAGGTAATAAATAATAAACAATTTTAAATATTCTGCTACAAGATTCTGTTCAGTTGTCGTCACAAAATACAGAAATTTGATCTTCTGTGGTAGGTATAACTTTCAATAAAAACCAGTCATTCTTTTGTGCAAGAGTCTAATCTAATGTAGTGCTCCTTTCTTATGTGGTTACTTATTTTTTGTAAATAGATTGCTCTCGCCCTGAAACACCTTTGAGTACATTAGATGCAGATGTAGAAAACAGTGAATCAGAGTTGGATAGTTTATATGCAGAAAATATTGGCTCTACATTTTCTTGTGCTTTTGCACAAAAAAGAAAAATTGATCTATCATCTTCAAATGTGCCACGGCTAATAGACAATAAGCGTAAAAATCTAGAGAAGAGATTATCAGCAGCACAACGACACCAGAAGCTGATGGACGCCGCAAAGGAAGACACAGAAATGAGAAGAGAAATGCTTGAATGTTTTAAGGAATCATCTAAAACAACAGCTCCTGCAATTGAAAACATGTCTTCTACTTTGAAAGAAATGACACAAGGAATGACCCAAGCAATGTTGTCTATTGCAAATAGCTTCTCCCAACCTAGAAGAAATTATTCCTCATGTTTTCCATATGATTTTAATCAACCATTGTCATTTTCCACCCCAAACACATCTTTCTCTTATTCAAGTGAAACTCATGAAACATTGCATTAGTTGCAGTAACTTATATGTTAGCTGGGAAGATTATTATTTTGTTTAATAGCTATATGAGGACTAGTTTATAAATTTATTGTATTGTTTATGCACAGAAACAAAACTTCAGTTACTACTTATGATTGTTATGTAATGTGATTTTGGCTGACTTGTACAGGTATCAAATCAGAGAAATTAAAAACAGATACTTTTGGTAGCTTTATTCACTATTAAAACTCAAGTAAAAATTGAGTTCAGTGTGTTCCTTTAGAAAAGCAACTATTGTCTTTCTGGTAGATGTTCCTTCAGCAGTATTACAAGAGAAAATCAAGTCTTGCTGAATATCTGGTTGTACTTCCCTATCATATTTAATTTGCTTCAAAACACCATCATCATCGTCGTGAATTCCGTGTAATTGACAAAAGTTATGTAAAACAAAACATGCATATATCATATAAGGAACATTTTCATTCTTCAGGTTTAGTACAGTGTTAAGTTTTTGCCATCTAGCTTTCAATCGTCCAAAGGCACACTCAATCTGATTCCTTGAGGATCTCAACAGATTGTTAAAAAATGACTTCTTCATTACTCTTGCAACATTCAAACTCAGTCATGCAATATGGCAGTAATGGATAAGCTGGGTCCGCAAGAAGCAGAGATGATACCTTGTCGTGGCCTGGAACTAAATTCCGATAAACGCTAGGCAACTTGTTTTCTCTCAGCATTTTGTTTATTTTAGAGTTTCTAAAAACTTTCGCAGAGGTCATGGGTTTGAATCCCGTTGAGTCACCTGATTTTTTCAGGTCCTGAGACGATTGCTTAAATTGTCCAACAAAGTGCGAAGATCATTTCTTCATTTAATTTAAAAACTTTAGCATCGTGCACACTCCCTGGCCATCGGCAGTCCACGTCAAGGAATAACCCTCTATAGTCACAAACTGCTTGGATGTTCAAGGTATATTTCATCTTGTAAGAAAAATAATCGTGAGAGTTCTCTAATGGTTGTTGGATAGCAATGTGGGTGCCGTCTATGCATCCAAAGGCTTGAGGGAAACCATGCTTTGATTCAAACCTTATGATCAATTCTCTCATTTCTTCAGAAGATTGTGGTAACTTGATGTACTTGGGACCAAGATATTTGCTGATTGCTCGACAGACTTCGTTGACAGTTTTGGAGACAGTTGGTGTAGCAACTCCAAAGGAGTTTGCAGTCATTCGAATAGAGCCAGTATCTTTAAGAAAATGTAAAGTTAATGCTACTTTTTTTTCGACTGAAACTGCTGTCCAATTAGGACTTGCAAAATTTGGTTTAATAAAAGGTTCGAGTTCTTGAACCAATTTCATGAAATCGTCTTTGCTCATGCGAAGATTCAAGTTCCACTCCTGGAGATCAAGTTCACCGAGCCAGAGATTACTCCACCATCGCTCTGTCCTACCGGGCTTCTGCCAGCATGAACGAAATCTTCCTCGTCGACTTGTAATTTTTCGTTTTGCTTGCAAAACATGAGGATTTTCCTTAGCTGTGCCCAAGCACAGGAGAATATCTTGCTGCATTTGCTGGTGCACAGTAAGCAATGTAATACATGCGTCTAACATGGAAAGAACCAACACTATATTCAAAATTATGGGGCATATAGAAAATACAATTTCTGCGTTATCCATCTTGGATTTTGTTGAGTGTAGAGTGAACTGGGAACGAGTTAAAAAGAGAGCGTGCAATCTCTCATGTAAACGCTAGACAACTTTGTCTCGGGCAGTAGGGTAACCCTAGTACCCGAGACCATAAACGGCCCCTAACTAAGCTAATTGTTGAAGTTGTTATTAAATCCTTGCCTATTATCGAGCTCATTGGGGCCAAATCCAGAATGGGGTAAAATCATGAATTATTGAGCATATAGTTCCTATAATTGTATGGCTGCTCTACTTTTTTGTTGTTTTTCAAGAAAACCCAAATTCTTTTGGGGTTTGCATATTGGGCTTGTGTTTTGCTGTAAATGTTTACTTTGCCAATCATCGTGTTTCTGTTGGTTTCAAATGTAATAAAGAAACGTTGTTGCTGATGGCAGCAACAATGTTATTCCACTTTTGGTGGTGCCAGAGGTCAAAGCTATATATAAAGCATTGGCAATTAAACATTGGTATTGCCAAATCTGTCATGTTGATCTTTGCATCAGTCCAATAGCTGAACATTATATTATATATGTTTGAAGTTCCAACGCAGTGTTGCCAGATTGTGAACAAAGTTCATAGATTTATGAACTTTTGATTTTTATTTTGAATTTTTGTGAACAAAAAGAATTTTTTGAACATTTCATGAACTTTTACTAAAAATTAAAAACTTTTTATGAACTTATCAGTTATAAAGGACAAGGTATTTTACTATGAACATACACTAGTTTAGAGATTCGCGACAAAGATAATTCATTCTACAATGTTGATGTAGAGAGAATTTTTTCTTCTGTGAATACAATCAAAACAAGGAAACGTGGAAACCCTAAGTCAAAGCTCAGTGCATGGGCAAAAGCCAAATCCATTAGTGTTGTTTGCAAAAAGTCCTCGACTGCCCCTCCAATCGACTGAACAAAAACATATAATTCTTTGAAGTTTGGATTTAGATCTTGAAACTTGTGGACTGAAGCTTTTGCATAACTACTCTGCTGAACGTCCTTTGACATCTTCATGTTTTTGTCAAAATAATTTTCTTTCATCTTGCTTAAAAGTTGGTATCCTATAGCGATCATACCAAAATTGCCATTCAAATTGTTTTTGTATGGTGTTTCACCCTTATTCATCAAACAAAGTATTTTGCAAAGAGCAAGTGGTTGGTATCGTTTCTCCTAAATTTGCTACTATGGACTTTGCACTTGTTTATCATATTAGTTGAATAAATACCAATCCATGTTATCACTTCTTACATCGTTGCTGACCTGACAGTTCGTTTTTCGACATCCAAAAAGTGCCTTTGGACTCATCAAACTCAGAATTGCGAGCACATTTACTTTGTCAATCAACTTGTCGCCATAAATTTGCAAATTTTGGTATTCACTCTTCATGATGTCACTTGTAGAAAAGTGTAGTTTTATTTCCAATTCGGAAAAGAACACGTTGATTGTGTGTTTTAGTTTGTTATACTCAGTCAGGATGTTTTGCCTATGTATCCTTGAAACACCACCAGGTGAATACAGAATGGTAATGGTAGAATTTTTTTGTCCTGCAGAAACTGGTTTCATGCAAACAGACAACAAAAGCTTCACAGACCTATCGATCACAAATTCTGGCAACATGGTCCTTATTTTGTTGAAATGTGTACTACCAATGTGTTCAAAAGGGTTGTATTCGTTTATCATACTTTTGGACATCGTTTCACCAACACATTAAACAACAAGTTTATATATTATTATGTATCGAATCAAATGATGACAACAACAGATGTAATATTCCTTTGTTCTAATCGACATAAGGGCTTTTTTTTGTACTCTGTTTGGTCTAAGAATATAGTTCAACACAGTTTTAAGTCTTCTTTAGCCCCAGCTGTTTAGAACAAAGTTACCGTATTTTGCACATATTCATTCTCGCTGAACCACTTTGATGCATAGAAGTTTGCAGAGACCACATTTTTGGGGTCTTCTTGGACCAACTCGCCTTGCATGGCGTCTATATCAAGATAAAACGCGTTAACAGCTCTTCCCGAGCCTGATTTGTTCTTTATTGTTTCAAAATGTTTTGCCATATTGATGTTTCTCATATAACCTGTATAACTTTATATATATGTGCCTTGGTTTGTAGCGGCGAAAACAACGAAAAGATTCATACAAATTCTCTTTATGATTGACTTTGGTCAACATAACCAGAGCAAGGAACATTTCATCCAAATCCTAGGCCAAACTTTTGTTGTCGTTGTTGCGGACCCTACCAATTCTTTTAGTATGCCGTTTTTCCTTTTGACCAAATTCATGACTTCTTTCCCAACTTTAGGCCTCAATGCGTTGTCTAAAGTTTCTATCCACATTTTGAGGTTTTGATTGGTTGTGAATTCTCCTTGTTGTGTTGTTTTTAACAAGGTATTGTTTGGAGTAAAGTTTTGATAATTAACGCCTTCTTTTATTTCCAGTGTCACTAACTTTGCACTTATGCATAACCCAAGCAACTTGAAGCAACCGTTGCTTAATCTATTCCACAATCCATCATCATGAATATATATGTATGCCAGCACCCTCTCCAATTTGCAAGGCTCATTAAAATCGTTGTATTTCAACTTCAAAATGGGGTGTATTGAACCAAGTATAGACCTAGTGAGGTTCGTTTTTTGGTCAGCTGTTTTTGTCCCAATGTTTTTACTCTCGTTGTTTATGAATCCTTTGGAAAACATTAGTGATTGCAACGTTGTATAGCGGTTCGAGTTCATTGGATCTATCACCTTCATTAGGGCTTTGTATATCTGATATGTGTTGTCATTTGGTCTTTTGCTAGCCTCAATCACAGCAGCTGTAAAAAAATCCGACCACGGATACATCGAATCGATGTTTGTTTAATAGCTTTGGCCACATTACTTGTATCTTTTGTCATTTGGTAAAAGTCGGCATCATTGTTGGGCATTTAATAGTTTGGTGTCGGTTTTATAAATTTATCCCTGTGCGTCATCTTCACAAAAGTGATGAAGCTTTTTTGCTCTCTGTCACCCACATGCAGCTCCAGAGGGGCTAGCATAAGATCGTTGGCCATCAATAATTCTTTTACTTTGTTAAATTGGCCAACTGATGGTATCTCCCCAGTCATTAATGTCATCAGCCCTGCAATTCTTGTTTCATTGCTCTTCACAACTGTGTACATTTGTTTAGCTTAATCCAAACGTTCTTAGTATTTTTTATCCTGTTTTTGTGGGTGCAACTCCATCAAAGACGACAGTATGATGAAAATGTCTGATTCTGTTTGTGAGCTGAAAACATTTATGTTTATGTCATTCATTTTTATGTTGCCATCATAATATTGCCCTTCGGACAAGTTCAGGAAAGCATGCTTGTTGT